CCTAGGCCAACTTGAACATGCCAGGTGCAACCATGCACCTGTACGCCCAGCTAACTGGGAGGCTGGAGCAGGAGGCCTGGCACACAGCATGACCCTGTCAAACAAACCCATTTCAGCGCCAGACTGTGGCACAGCGTAACACAACACGGGCTGACCCACATGGCAAGGGGGCTGACATTCACAGACCTCCCTGAATGTCAGACCCATGATCCAGTACTGGCCGAGTTCGGGAGTTGAATTGCAGCATGAAGGCCCTGTTGGGGGTGCTGTCTGTTGGTCCCTCTTGCTCATGGGAGAAATAAACTTTTTTAAACAATCGATCTCTGTCTCTCCCCTTTTCCCTAATGCTCCTCCTCTCTCATAAAGGAAAGGAAAAAAACGAATGGGGAGATCTGAACAGAGGAAACAGAGGATCAAGACATGAACAACAGATGGGCTGGGACAACATCAAGAGGGTAGAAGATGGGACTGAGCAACGAGGTCCCACATCCATCACCAGGGTGGAAGGAGAGGACAGCATGGGTGAAGAGAGGGAGAAAAGAGAAAGAGCACAGACCACAGAGAGAGGCGTCAAGATTCCTGGCATCCTCTCCACTAAGGAAGAGGTAGGGCGTCTGCTGGAAATCAGAGAGCCAGGGGAGAGGAGCGAGGCAACTATGGAACAGCTTTGGAAGGCTGGCTGGCAAGAAAAATTTGGACTAGACAGCAGAGCCTAGAACAAAGACTGAGTCCCTAAATATCTATTTGAGGATCCATGAGGGACACTTCACGTTCTTAAGCAACACTTTCTTTTTTTGGGGGGGGGAAGAGATTTTCGCTACAGGGCGCGTGTGCTCGCCAGACAGACAGAGAGAGACATAGAGACAGAAAGTGAGACATCACTCTCCAGAGGGGATGGTCAAGCAGCAATCCCTTCTCCTCCATTCTCCTCTCGGGATCTTGGGCACGCACGCACACGCACCTGGCGTGAGTTTTAAGTCACCAGATCTGGGATGCGAACCGTGGTTGACTACGTGGGAATCCAGTGACATAGCCATTACGCTAACTGCTGGTTCCCTTAAGCAAAACTTTCTAAAACAATGACAGGAGTGTGGTAGGAGTGAGAAACGGGAGGTAGGGAGGTAGACAAGTAGGCTGTGGGCAAAATGGGGAAATATTTCTTCCCAAGCCAGGATGGAGTCTCTGGGGGACAAGTGAGTTTCATTGTTAAAGATTCACGGTAGGCACTGGGATAGGGAGAAGGACATGGAAGGGGGACGCCAGAAGACCTAACAGACAAGTAGCCGTGGGGCAAGGAGAAAAAGGTATCAGAGATGCCTCCTGAGCCCCAAGCCTGGTAGACAGCAGGAGGAGGTGGCCCGCACAGACACAGGGGTGTCGAGAGGAAGACTAACTGTGTGGCCCAGGCATGTAGAGACCAAACAGCCTTGCTCCAGCCTAGGGACAGAGACACTTGCAACAGGTACTATCCTTGGAAGCAGGTACACTCTCCTCCCAAGAATCAAGCCCGGCTCTGTCACCAGTTGCTGTTCAGGACCGACAGCAGGTCAGAGATCCACACTAGGAAACATTTCCCTGACACCCACCTCAGACTGTGAAAGACCGTGAGATCTCCAAGAGGAGAAAGGGCCAGGAGAGCCGGACATTGCAGCCTAGGGTACTCAGAGGGCAAAGGGAGAAACACTGCACTCTGGTCATCAGTTTTCCAAGGCATGTGGGGGCAAGGAAGTGGGCCAAGCTGATGCTCCTGGGAGGTCAGGGGGCTTGAGGCCTAAGAGACACCGTGGAATCCACGAAGCAAGTGGTGGCAGAGATAGAAGAGGACCTGGCCACCGGGGCTCCATGAATGGCCTGCCAGGAGGTGGAGTGCTCTGTTCTTTTTCTCAGAAATCAAAGGGACAGGGTCGGCAGGTGGCATAGTGGTTTAGGGCACTGGACTCCCACATGGCCAACTGCAATTTGAGTCCCAGACCTGGTGGCTTGCTTTCTCACTTTCTCTCTCTCTGGTCAAACTGAAAAATAAATAACATAATTCTTGAAAGAAAGAAAGAAAGAAAGAAAGAAAGAAAGAAAGAAAGAAAGAAAGAAAGAAAGAAAGAAAGAAAGAAAGAAATAGAAGAAAGGAAGAAATAGCAGGGGCAGGAGTTGAAAGAGGTGGGGACAAGGGAATGCTCTTATAGGAATGAGAAAGATCTTGGTCTAGTCACAGCGGCACACAGATAGCATGACTGCTCCAGAGACTGACAGGAAACCTGATTTTAGCTCCTAGGCCAACTTGAACATGCCAGGTGCAACCATGCACCTGTACGCCCAGCTAACTGGGAGGCTGGAGCAGGAGGCCTGGCACACAGCATGACCCTGTCAAACAAACCCATTTCAGCGCCAGACTGTGGCACAGCGTAACACAACACGGGCTGACCCACATGGCAAGGGGGCTGACATTCACAGACCTCCCTGAATGTCAGACCCATGATCCAGTACTGGCCGAGTTCGGGAGTTGAATTGCAGCATGAAGGCCCTGTTGGGGGTGCTGTCTGTTGGTCCCTCTTGCTCATGGGAGAAATAAACTTTTTTAAACAATCGATCTCTGTCTCTCCCCTTTTCCCTAATGCTCCTCCTCTCTCATAAAGGAAAGGAAAAAAACGAATGGGGAGATCTGAACAGAGGAAACAGAGGATCAAGACATGAACAACAGATGGGCTGGGACAACATCAAGAGGGTAGAAGATGGGACTGAGCAACGAGGTCCCACATCCATCACCAGGGTGGAAGGAGAGGACAGCATGGGTGAAGAGAGGGAGAAAAGAGAAAGAGCACAGACCACAGAGAGAGGCGTCAAGATTCCTGGCATCCTCTCCACTAAGGAAGAGGTAGGGCGTCTGCTGGAAATCAGAGAGCCAGGGGAGAGGAGCGAGGCAACTATGGAACAGCTTTGGCATCTCTCTAGGGCACTTTCGTTGGAATATAGTGTGTAAGCAAATCACTTCCGGTCTTCTTACAACGCAGGTTCTGATTTGGCAACTCTAGGTAGGGCCTAAGACCCTGTGTTTCCAACGAGCTTCCAGGTATTGTCACGCTGCCCATCTGGGGACCATACTGTGAGGAGCAAGGATTGAGTCAGGTAAGGAGATGGAGGAAGAGACTGTCAGAATTCACCCGAAGGACAGACCTATCTTTGGCAATCCCAGCTGGGGTAAAAGCTGGCCCATGAGAAGTCTCCTCTGCCCATGACAGGGAGAGAGACAGGAAGAGGAAAAGATGGCAAAGAAGAAAGAAGTCAGGAGAGGAGGTGAAGGGACTCCTAGCGTGGTAGAAGACCCAGCAGTGAGTGCCCTTGGGACTCCTCATTCTGGCCAACCTGGAGCAGAACACTAACTGCACACTTGCGGTCTCCCAGGAGGAGGGCGTGAGTCAGCTGCGGGGCAGGAAGGTGACATTACGGGGGTATCAGAATGCTAGCGGTAGGCAGGACAGGCTGCCCCCCACGCTGGTCTGCAGGAAAGTGCTCGATTCGCTCTGGGCGTCTCAAAGACTGAGCTGGACACACAGAAGGTGAGGAGAGGGGCTGAAATGGCTCTGCTCCTGGGTCAAGGGCGGATTTCTCTTTCAGGTCTAATCAAAAAAAGAAAGGAACTCTGAGAGGGGAGATGACTGGGGAGAAAGAGGAAGTGAGCTGGGCTCTGAGCCTTAACTCCATCCCTAAAAGTGTCCAACTTGCAGTCAGAAATCAAAAGGTCTTTAAAAGGAACAGGTGGGAAACGAAAATGCTTTAGGTTTGGGCAACCCAGGGCTAGGGATGGGGTTGCAAGGAAGCCTCTTAGCTCATCTGGGACCCAGCCTAAGAGAGGGCCTTTTGAGTCCTTGGCTGGGGTTAACCGAGGTTAGGTTCCCGGCGGAGGTGCGGGGAGGACAGCCCTGGGCGACGAAGAACGTCCCAAGTAAAAGCATGGAGGCGTCAACATGGGCAGCAAGTCCAGGAAGCAGGCGTCGGGCATGGAGAGGACGGCGGGTACTTGGGAGAGAGACGAGGCCGTGAAGATGCTGGAGCTTCGTCTGGCGGCGACGGGGAGGCCCTGGAGATCCCTGACGCGGCGTGGCACGCTTCTCAGGCTACGGCCCGGCTCCCTCGCCACGCAGCGTCCGATCCTCCCTTCCCTGGCCTCCCGGGTCTCTCCGGTTCTCTCCCGCGGCCTCGGCCAGGCCGCAGCCCCCAGCCCAGGCGACCGACTCGCCAGGGGC